AAATTCCGAGAGTTTTTGGTCTACATCACACATATTTTCCTCCAAATTGGGAGTTTTTTGAGGTTCGGACACGATGATTTTACCCTTATTTTTCACCATAAACACGAAACTTGTAGGAGTTTCTTCATAATCAACTTGCTCTGACACCAAGTTGTTAGGATCCAGCCTTGACATGTACTTTATTAGGACTTTGAACGGTAAAAGAATTTAAATTAAGCGAGAAAATTAAAAAATGATAAGGAAATCAAAAGAGAGGAAAAAATGTAGTTGATACCAAGAGAGAGAAAGGATTTTAGAGAGAGAAAAACAGAGAGAGAAAGAGTGTTATAGAGAGATCGGGAGAAAGTATAACAGAGAGAAAGAGCGAGGGAGAAATCTCGGAAGAGAGGAAATAACAAAGAGAGAGAAAAGACACCAAGAGTTTAGGGAGAGAAGAGGCTGAGGGAGGAAAAAGATAGAGAGATAGAAGATAGATTTGTGATATTAACTTCACTACATACCATGATAGATTATTGTTTACAATCCATTATTTATATACATGAAATGGTACATGATTCTTTCTTTCAAACCATCAATTGTCGCGTGGAAGCTGAAATCCGCAAAGGAGATCTTCCCATTGGATGCGTCGACCAGAAAGAGAAAGATGAAGAGTTGGGCTGGTTCATCACATGAAGAAGAAACGGTTCAATAGTTCAAAAACTGGCTCGTCACCTAGGGTTTTGGGGCTTTAAATACCTACTCTCCAATCGTGACACATGCCCCTCCAATTCCTAAGAATTGACAAAAGCTTAAACATTAAAGCTAATAGTTTTTTCTTCTCTAATTGTTAAAAAAAAAGTCCAAAAAATAAAGCTAACACAAAAATAAAAATAGAGTTGTTAATCAAAAATACCATTCATTCAAGAATGAATCTCAAAATTTGCACCTCACATATTTACTTGTAACAAATACCCTTGCATGTTAATAGTTGTCTTACACAGGTTGTAATAAGCCATATAATTCTCACACATGGAGTTCATTTGTTACTTACTTTTCAAGAATAAATTGCACATTATATGTAGGCCGTAATAAACCATATCATTTGATACTTACTTTTCAAAATCTAGAAACCTCTTCCATGCCATCCACTGCTTCTCTTCCTGAGAGCCAAAGAAAACAAGAGTGTAGCTGTGTTAACAAATGTAAAAGAGAAATGATGTTCTACATAGAAGCATAACTTAGGGAACCAACCAATGGAAGTGTTAACTACATAATACAGGTCGAAGAACCATTTCCCAAGGGTGGCTCCCACAAGGAAACTGGGGGCAATTGAATCAACTTGCTTTTGAGGGGAAAAAAATAATATATCTGTATGTACTTAATTAAGTATGATTTTTTCATAGCTTTTGATAATTTCTTAACCCAGTAGTAATAATAAATAGTAATTTTCACCCTGTTGGCCATTATCGAATGTGATTTGAGAACATAACAATTTTTTAACCATAATGTTCTAGCTCCATCCCTACCACTTCTCATGACAGACATACTACATCTAAGAAAATATAACAGCCCAAAACTTGCTACAATACATGCACTTGTGTTGTCTTTAGTCACTAAAGATAAAAAAGAAATAATGTAATAGCACTGGTGTTTTTTCAGATACAAACTAAATGGATATATTAGAATGATACGAAACGTACCAACCATATATAGAGATTTACAACTCTCAAAAAAAAAAACAAAAATATAATGATAATCTGGCAAATATCAGTCAGTTACCAAAGATGTTCTCCATATAGAACAGAATGACGTTTACACAAAATACAAAGTCAGAATCTATTAGTTTTTTGTATTCCCATAATAAAGGACTATGTTGTACGTACTCCATGCAACTTATATTCCAAACAGCAATTCTTCAATTGTAACAATAAGGGAATGAAAGGAAAAAAAAAGCACAGTTACCTTGTAAGACCCAGTTGGTGGCACAGCAAGCATATTCCACTCAATTTCATCGACATATTTCTTCCTTTCACGATAAACAGCCCTAGCACTGTTATATTTTGGTTGATATTCAGATAGAAGTCCTTTTGCCTGCTTCGTAAAATATCATTAAGTTCACAATCCATCAAACTATTTATTGCAAATGCAAATACAGAAAATTATTGGTTATAATAGCAAATAGCTAGCCAAATATGCAATCAAGAAACTAAACTTGATCAGTCACATGCAGCTCACACCCCAACACATTACCAATTGACGGCTCACAGAATTTTCAAAATTCTCATAATCCTTCCAAAGCTGCTCAACATGATGGGTCGGGGTGATGATAGCTCTTTGGAACACTTTCCGAACTGCAGTCATCCGCTGTGACTCTTCTTGCGGACTTACGGCCTGCAATAACATCACAAACAAACCGAAAACAGCAATATGATAAAAAGATTGTGAATAGCCATTAACAGCAAAATCAAATACTAATGATATATTGTTTTTAAAACATAAGGAATATATATTTAACAAACCGGCAACGATCTTAAAAAGGAAATGTACTCCATCCATATGGGGCCAGATGCGATGTCTGCTCCTGGCAATGTTTGCATCAGAAATAGGCACCATCAGTCTACTCCAAAATTATTCTCTTTTGATAAAAGAAGAAGCTTTATTAAAGCATAGAAAAAGAGAAAAGAATATAAAGATGAGAATCAGTTAATCTCCTCAATAAGAAAAAATAAAGAATAAAAATTTCAAAACAGTGTGTACAAAGATATCTCCTTTATTCTGTGTGCGTGATAGCATCCCAGTTGTGACATAGCTCTAAGATGCTCATGTTTGCCACGTGCCCAGGAGCTTTTGCCCAAAGAGACATCACAAATGACTCTCTCATTGAGCTCATGGATCGTCATTGCCCAATCAAGGAAAATCTGTTGATTCCTTGCTTGCCATATACCCCAGAGACCTGTAAAAACAGCACCTTGCTAAAGTACCTGAAGCTTCCTTTCTAACTCCAACCCCCTGAATACATGAGTTCATAAAAATACGAACTGTAGGAGACACCACCCAGCTGAAGCCAAATTTATTCATCAGATTAGCCCACACTTTCCACGCCATGTTACAATGTAAAAACAAGTGGGAATGAATCTCACCATTTTTGAAGTGCAAAATGAATATATTAGGGACAAAGCACGGTGAGGGCATTGGACATGAAGCAAATCAGTAGAGTTAAGTCTTTGGTTGATAGCGGTTCACAAAAATATCTTCACCTTCAAAGTGACTGTAGCTTTCCAAAATATGTTGGCAATATGAAATTGTTTGTCAGTGGGTATAGAAATAAGGTATGTGAAGAAGGATTTACATGAGAACAAACAAGAAGGTTCAAGAATCCATGACCATCAATCAAGTTGGAAGGTAATTTGAATGTTGTCTAGCATGTTCAGTAAGGTCACGACATTTGAAGTCTCCTGATCAAAAGGTTACTATTAAGATGGAAGTTCCAATAAGGTCTTCCTACCGAACTATCAACAAAGCCAGAGACACAAGTAGTATTCTGGTAGATAACTAGTAAACCCTAGGGAGTTTTGTGGCGAGCAGTTGATCTCCCAACCATGTGTCCCCCAAACAAGACTCTAAATCCATTTCCCACATGTAGTCAAGTGAGTCGAGTAAAGAAAGGGAGGACTAGGAAATGGATTTTCAAGGACTACAGTGAGTTGTGGATCCCCCAACAAGAACATTCCAGTCAATCCTCTCACCTCCTTGGATATTGTTTATCATCATGTGCCATAGAGAGGTTGGCTCACTAAGGAAAGTGTCATAGCCATTTTTCAAGTAGAGATAACGTTTTTGATATAAGATTCCCAATGCCTAAATTCCGCAAATTTTTAGATTGACAACAAACCTCTCATTGAACTAAATGATCTCTACTCTTCTTACACTTGCCGAACCAAAAGAATTTTTTCATTATACTCTCAATCCTCTCTGCTATCTAGTAGGAATCCTAAATAGAGATAGCAAGTAAACTGATATACTAGACAAACAAGCATTAGTCAACCTAAAGGGAGAAGAGCCCATCCTTCCAACTCTCTACAC